GAAGAGCAGCCTCCTCGCGGCGAACTACTTCCCCGCCATAGATTTGAGTGACGGTGATTACGAGCTCGGCCTGATGATTTTTGAGACTTATCACACGATACCGAATGTAAACGAATCGAACAATAAATTTTATTTCGACAAAGACGATGCAGAAATTACAATTCCCGAAGGTTTGTACGAAGTACGAGACATAAATGAATTTTTGAAAAGTGCAATTTTACGTTCGCGCCGCGACGCGCTTGAAACCGTTGACATAGTGCTTTTGCGCGGTGACAATAGCAACAATAACAACTATAACACCAATGATGACGACGATGGCGAGGGTGCCGAATATCCGATAACAATCCATGCAAACTACAACACGATGAGATGCGAGATTAGATGCGCCTACAGAATAAACTTTGGCAAGCCCAACAGCATTGGATAGCTGCTGGGATTCTCGTCGAAGCGTATACTGCGACCGCGAAGATGGCACGAATCGGACGTGTCGATCAACATAATGAACGTAAACGTTATCCGAGTAGAGTGTAACGTGACCGCGGGTGCGTACAGCAACAGCAAAGGTGTACACACGATACATGAATTTTCGCCGAGCGTGCCTCCGGGATATAAGATATCAGAAAGTCCCGCGCAGATCATTTACTTGCCAATCACCGCACGGAGCATTACGGATCTAACGATATGTGTCGTCGATCAGAACGGATGATTGATCGATTTTCGCCGAGAGGAGATCACCCTCAGATTGCACGTGCGACAGCGACGACGATAACGTAAGCGTGATGCTTATATTGAACGGAGCGGAGCGCACGCGGAGAAATAACGAATTCGTTACAAGGCCGGTGACGTCACAGCTCGACAACACTCGCTCATCCGACTGCATCAGCAAGAAGAAGCTTAACGCGTCGAACGTTAAATTTTTACAATCTTTGGGATTCGCAGTGCGCAACTTTTAAGATGATTGATATCTTGAATATTACCGGTGAGCCGATCTTTGACGATCGCATCGTAAAGTTTGAGACTCACACGTACAATCCGTTTGCCACAACGTTTGGGTACAGTAATGAGATAAGAATACCCATACAGCAACAGGATTTATACACGTTGCCGTGCGAAAGCTTTCTATATGTTGAGGGAAGACTGATGAGGAAGAGCGATGTCCAGGGTGCTGCCGTGGTATTGGCAAATAATTGCGTCGCGTTCATGTTTGATGAAATTCGATACGAACTCAACGGTATGGAGATTGACCGCAACAGAAACGTCGGAGTTACCAGTACCATCAAGAACTACCTGTCGCTGACGTATGACAAATCTTTGATTGCGCTAAACGCCGGATGGAACACTAGGTCTGATACAGAGGAAGGACATTTTAATTTTTGCGTGCCGCTCAGCATGCTGTTGGGCTTTTGCGAAGATTACAAACGCTTGATTGTCAACGCTCGCCACGAATTGATTTTGATAAGATCGCGCAACGATAACAATTGTATGATTGGAGATCCGGCGACAGACCCGATGCTTGAATTATTCAAAGTG